ACCAAGCATGGGGCACATCACTCGACTCAATTGCGACTGCATACGAGAGGGCTGTGAAGGAGGGCACGGATGTCAAGGCTATCTGCGTCATCAACCCGGGTAACCCCACTGGCGCGTCGCTGCCCGCCGAAGACATCAAGGCTGTGCTCAAGTTCGCCGCCGAGAAGGGTCTCGTCGTCATCGCCGACGAGGTCTACCAGACCAACGTCTTCATTGGCGAGTTCATCTCCTTCAAGAAGGCTCTACGCGACCTGCAAAAGGAGTCACCCGGCCAGTACGACCACCTCGAGCTGGCTTCTCTGCACTCAATTTCCAAGGGCATGGTCGGCGAGTGTGGTCACCGAGGTGGCTACTTTGAGCTTATCGGCTTTGACCCAGAGGTCGCGCAGGAGGTCTACAAGTTCATCTCTATCCAACTGTGCCCGCCAGTTCTGGGCCAGTGTATCGTGGAGATGATGGTCAACCCACCAAAGGAGGGCGAGCCAAGCTACGAGCTCTACAAGGAGGAGTACGACGGCATCTTCCACGGATTGAAGAAGCGCGCGTACGCTTTGTATGAGGCGTTTAAGCAGATGGAGGGTGTCGAGTGCAACGAGCCACAGGTACATATTCCACGCCAACTACACATCGCATAGCTAACCCAAACATTAGGGCTCCATGTACCTCTTCCCCACCATCCACCTCCCAGAAAAGGCCGTCCAACAAGCCAAGAAGGAAGGTCGCGCGCCCGACGAGTTCTACTGCTTCCGCATGCTCGACGCCACAGGTGTCTGTGTTGTTGCTGGTACAGGCTTCGGACAGAAGGAAGGCACACTGCATTTCAGGACAACCTTCCTTGCCCCTGGAACCGACTGGACAGGGCGCATTGTTAAGTTCCACGAGGAATTCATGAAGGAGTTTAAGTAGACGTGTTGGCCGATAACAGGTTGGATGCGTAGACATGGTTGGAGCGTGAGATACGCTACGCATGACATAGATCTCATGAACAACATAACTTGTTTTACTACCATTTCCCAGTCTATTACTATACTTTGACCTGTGTAATTGCCGAAGTACGTAGTAATGGTGGGGGCGGGGTAAAGAGGATTGATATATCCGAAGACGATCGCGATATCGCAACTGCCGTGCATTGTACCTGAATGGACCCTTGTCTTGGCTTATGCCGAATGACATGGGATATATACATAGCTCCACGCCAGTGCTCATCGTCATGTATATCGCGTGCGTTCTTACTCTGACTGTTGCTTGTCTTACCTGTCTAGGTCCCTAGCTATCTTTTGCAATTCCTGCGCACATCTGTATCAACGACTTCATCTCGCGTACCTAATATCATCATCGTCATTATCGAAGTCGTCATCACCATCAAATGAGCACCAACACCACAATGTACATCCAAAACCGATCTCCCTTTAACACACTCTCAACCCTCGAATCCCTCCCCGACGAACTCCTCGACCTAATCCTCTCCCACCTCCCATCTAGAACCACCCTACACACCCTTACCCTGGTCTCCCGCCACCTAAACCGCCTCGCAACAGCCCACCTCTACACGCACATCACGCTCTACGGCGCGGATTTCAAATACCTGCGTCCTCTCGCCCTCCTCTTCTGGACGTCTCTGGCCCATCGCCAGCTAGTCCGTTCTTTTGCCGTGATTCATGCGTATGGCGGGAATCTGGATCCGTGGCCGAAGTGTGAGGGGCTGGATTTGGATGCGGTGATTAGGGGGAATGTGGAGTGCTTTGTGAGGAGGAGTGATTGGGGGATTTGGGTTGAGGAGGTGAGTCGTCTCTTTGCATGGAGAGCGTGTGAGATGGTTTACTGACGGAGCGCGCTCATGTTCTAGGTTAGGGATGGGAGTGATTCGACGCGCATTGCGAGTCTGTTGTTGAGAAGCTGTCCGAACCTGAAGAGGATGCAGTTGCCAGGGTTTGAGTTGGTGGACCCGTGTGGGAGGTGAGAGTTTGGACTGCACCTGCATAGTTGATGCCATGCGTCGCTGTGGCGTTCAAGGCTGGGTAATGTACTGTGTACGTCAGCTGAACACGCGCACCTCCTAGGAGGACAGAACGCCATACCGAATTGAGGTGTTCGAATAGTCTGGGGCTGCAGAGACAGTCAGTATGTCTCGCGGACTATGCACCGAGGTATCCCGGGACGCAGCTCTACCTTCCAAGGTGCATGATCCACGCCTCCAACCTTCAGATATGCAAGACCCGCACGAGAGATCACTTCGAAGCTGTTTAGACCAAAATATGGGTGTGGCTGGAGATTACCAATGAGTTACCACTGGATCACACGCGGCATGAGCCCACCTGCTCTGGCTACGCATCCGTAACGGTCGAAGTTGACAACAATAGAGTTTCGTCAACAAGAAGGTGCCGCTAAGTTGCGCGTTCCTGCAGCGAAATATGTCAGGGTCGTCGCAGCGCATACGAGCTCATTCGCCCTCGCCGTTTGGGCGACATGTAAAGAGGGTCGGGCCTCTACCGCGGTACCACATCCTCATCATGCGCGAACACGACAACACATTCGTAATGCAACATATTATCAGAGATGCTTCGTTTATCTAGTGGGTAGTATGGATATGTTGGGCCTGTTGACGAACAACAGAGGTATATAACACGGTCAGCGCCACGGTGTGAGCTGAGCTGTGTATATATCTGGAAGCGACGTGGACTCGCTACCGCGATCGCAAGGTGGAAGAGTTATTTTTCTTTGTTGAGAGAAATTTTTACTAGACAGGGTCTCCGTTAACATATCGCTATTCTCACTCATCAGTCCTTTCCAGGAGCACCGGAGGAACGCTCACTCTTCTTCGAAGATGTCTTCATCCGACTCTACAATGGGTGCGACACCACCTACAACGGAGCGCAAAGTCGACTTCGTCATTGAGGAACAGGACTTGGGAAGTATACCACTTACTCAGCCCCAAGTCTTCAACAATACCCTCTCTCGCCGCCTCAGTCGCCCTACGCTTCCTCCTTCCTTCCCCTCTCAGACACCCTCCGCCAAATGGAAGCGATCGGAGGGTTTTTGGCGATCATTCATTGCCATATGCATCCCATTACTTCTCTCCGCTCTCGAGGGAAGTGTAACCAACACCGCCCTCCCTACCATCTCGGAGGCCTTGGATCTCGGCACCAAATTCTCCTGGGTTGCGACCGCGTTCCTCCTCGCAAGCACCATCTTCCAGCCTCTATACTCTCAGTTCGGAGATATGTGGGGAAGGAAAACTCCCATGATGACTGCTGTTGCCGTCTTCGCAGTGGGCTCAGCTATCTGCGGCGGCGCACAGAACGGCGCAGTGCTCATCGCTGGACGCATTGTCCAAGGTCTAGGAACTGGTGGAATTGATCTGTTTGCCGAGATGATTCTCTGCGATATCGTGCCATTGAGAAAGAGAGGTCCGTATTTGGCGATCAAGCACGTTGCTTTCGCCGCTGGCACCACACTCGGTCCACTCCTGGGAGGAGTCTTCGCTGAACACGGTTGGCGATGGTGTTTCCTCATCAACATACCCGTCTGCGCCATCTCCCTGGTCGTCATCTGGCGCTGGCTAAATGTCGGTGGAAGTAACACTACCCCAGAAACAACCCTTCGACAAGAGTTGAAGAAAGTGGATTACGTAGGAAGCGGCATGCTCACGGGCTCCGTCCTGATGCTACTCGTCGCTCTCAGCACAGGCGGCGCACCGAAACCCTGGTCCCACGCCTCCGTCGTTATACCCATGGTCTTTGGCATCCTGGGTCTCATCGTCTTCGGTTTCTGGGAACGCTGCTCCTACTGCAAATACCCCATCATGCCACCGCACGTCTTCTCGAACCGCACGACAAACATCGCTTTCGCATTGACAACCATGCACGGCTTCATAACTTACGGTTTCCAATTCTATCTCCCGCCTTTCTTTCAAGCAGTCAAGGGCTCCTCACCCACACAGTCAGGTCTAGAAGTCATGCCCACGACCCTCGTTATCGTCGTCCTCGCCGCAGTTGGCGGCCCCTTACTCAGCTACTGGGGCAAATACAAACCCATGCACATCATCGGCTTCGCTTTAACGACCCTCGGCCTAGGCCTCTGCACACTACTCAACGCCAAGTCCTCAATTGGTGTCTGGCTCTCCCTCCAGCTCATCACCGCAGCCGGTCTCGGCATAGTCATCAGCACCATGCTCCCCGCCGTACAAGTCAAGCTCCCCGAATCCACAACCGGCGCAAGCGCAGGCTCCTGGGCCTTCCTCCGCGGTACGGGCTCTCTCTTCGGTGTCGCCATCCCCGGCGCTGTCTTCAACGTCCGTTTCGCCTCTTTACTCCCCACCATCTCCTCCGCGACTGCTCGCGCTAAGCTGGAAAATGGTCAGGCGTATCAACGCGCTACTGCATCTTTCATCGCCACGCAAGCCACATCACCCACTATTGAAGCTGAGATCATCAATGCGTTTACCCAAAGTCTCAAGTGCGTGTGGGTTGTTTTTGCAGTTCTAGCGGGAATCGGCTTTTGTCTCACGTGGGGTGAGAAGGAATACAAGATGCGTAAGGAACTCAATACTGTGTATGGACTCAAAGCGAAGAAGACGGGGGGTAGTGCGTGTACGACGCCAGGGGTCGTGGACTCGGGGGTTGCTACACCGGTCAATGTAGATAGCAGTGATGAGGAGATGAACAAGACGAACGGGGAGGATGACGGGTGTGCGGTTGAGATGGATGAGGACGATGTTGAGTTGGGGGATATTAGGAGGAGAAGTGGTGAGGTGTGATGAGGGTGCGGGCAGGGCAGATATCCTGCTTGTACTAATAGTGGAATTAAGAAAACCTCTCATTCAGACTTTGGGCTGGGCGTTCTAACTGGTACAAGTGGGCGTCGATCATTCTATTCAATGCTCGAAGTAATCGACACCGAATGAAAGTTACCTAGTATATATCTACTCTAAACCCCCCACGAACCTGTCTCCAGCTAAGTAGCAATGTCCGACCTTCCTCTCCCTATTTCCGCTCCCACCATCACCGCCACACCGCCTCTCCCCTCACGCTTTCCATCCTCCGCTTCGCCTCTACAAACTTCCTCCTCGCCTCCTCAAATACTCTCTGCGCCTCAATCACCTCCATCCTCCTGACGTTAAACTCATGTGTCGCTCTCTGCGCTGCCTGGACACGAGGATCTATCCTCGGCGCTGGATACGTATCGCGCATGTATGATTCAAAAAGAGTGCCGTTTGCATTATCGCCGCTGGTGAGTTTGTCGTTACCGTAGCTGTTATCCGCAATGTTTAGGAGATCTGGTTGTGAGGGTTGGTACGTATTCGTTCGTATCGGACAAGGCGTATCTGGATCTCCGCCAAACTCCTGGGCTAAGCTATTGAATAGGGGAGTGAAAGAAGAAAACGGTGGGACGATGCCAGGGGATGTAGCTGTAGGAGTGGGAATATCAGCAATGACAATCGGAGGAGGGCGGGAGCGGCGCTGCGTCTGTGGTGTGGTAGTTGTAGAAGAAAGTGTGGCTGTTATCGTTGCTTGTGAATCCGGAGGCGTGGGTATATCGTCGAAGTTGAGACAGATTGGCGTGCTGGGCTCGTTGTTGTTGTTGGTGGTGCTGTCGTCTTCGGAGATGACGCATAGTTCTTCTTTCAACCGTTTCGCCAGTCTTTGTGCGCCTTCGTCTTCCTCCTCCTCAGCAACAACATTCATCTCCTGTCTAATCGAGTACTTCCTCTTCCTCGTTTCATCTTCTTTGATCGGGACGGGCCCCTGCATTTCCCTCCCTCGGCTCATTCTTCGTAAACTCTCACATGCCTTTTTCACATCGCTGATTTCCAGAATAGCAAAGATCTTTTGCGTTTTTCCGCTGTAGGAGCCTTCGCGGATGCGCGCTTGGAAGTAGGTGCTTAGGAGGTTGTGCGCTCGGTCTCGTTGGCCGATTGTTAGGGTGGAGAGTTCGTGGATGGCTTGGATAATTGGGGCCGGGAGGCAGTTGATGGGTACGCCGGCGAGGAGGGAGGCGGGGAGGATGGGTTCTTCAGAGGTGGAGGGGTGGATGAACCAGTTTTGTTGGATGGCTTGGATGTGGTTTATAATGTCCATGTGGCATCCTGCACTGGTCGGATTTGATGTGTTGGACATGTTTGTCATTCCCATATTGCTTATCGTGTGTTGGGCTCTTGGGGATGCAGGTGCAGCTTGTGACACAAGGTCACGATCATAAGATGTGCCTCGACGCTGATTCATAGCTAGAAGTGCTACAACAAAGAGTCGGTAGCTACAAAGGTCACGGGGTGACTTCCGGCTTTGTCCGTGATCAAGTCCGAAAACTGGTGTCTGGTGGCGCTTTGTCCAGTGGCTCCAGAACAGTGTCGGAGACCGCACTTGACGTAGCGGAGGCTGTGCGGGAGGCGAACTTCATAATATAGAAGTCGTGAGGCGTGTTTCAGGTTGAGGTCGAAACACTATCGGTGAATAGAGTCCTATCTCGAAGCGCTGATGCGGCCGGCATAGACGGGCGAAGAACGTACATCCAAGTAGGAGCCTAGAGTAGAACAGATGACGACCCAGCATAAAGAATACACGGTAGTCGAAGAGACCCAGACACATCAAGATAAACTCATTGTCGGCGCATTACCTATACTTCATGATGACTTCCAAACGTTAAACTCTCCAACGTAACCTCCCGCCTACCGATTCCCCCTTAGTATATCCCCAATCTGACTAAACGGATTCCTCAAACCCCGCGCACCGCCTACTCTCCCAGCCTTGGTACTCATCGTCTTCGGCGGATCGTGTTTATAGCTACAAGTAGTATTCGTGCATCCGGCTGGCGAGGTCCTTTGCCACCTACAGAGAGTCTCTGACTGGAGCGGCTTTGCCTGTTTTTCGTTCCTGCGCCCTCCAGATGCATTGATGATATCCTCTAACGATTGTTCGATGCGAATGGTAGGAGCCTGATGTTGAGGTTGATGGGCGATGGGTTGATCGTTCTTTGTTATCCTGTCGGCGAGTGAACGTTTTCCTCGAGGGCCAGTTGGTGGGGTATGGTAACCAAATGGCGTTTGGTTATCAAAAGAGGTGGGCTGTTCACCCCTTGTTACTCGTTCAGCAAGCGTCGGTTTGCGCACTGCGGGCGCTGGTGGTGGAGCGTGGCCGAACGGGTTCTTGCTGTTGCTAGTGTGAAAGCCAAAAGTCTGGTCTTGCTGCTTAGGTTGCAAGGAAGATCGCCCATTCCCCTTCATCTGCCCACCGAAAGGATTTAAACCACCCGGCAGGTGACTGGAAAAGGGATTCGTTTGGGAAAAGTTGCTGGATCGTGGTGCAGGGACAGGATCGATGACCATTTGGTCAGCCCGTGGAAACTGTTTTGACTGGCCTTTCGATGTGGCTTCTGTGAGGAAGAAAGGATCGTGGCTGTGTTTACATCTCCCACCGAATCTGCAACTACCGCTCAACCAGAACTTGCACGCGGTGTGGGGTAGCTTGCAACTCCTGTCTAATGTGCAGGTTCCGTTCTTGTATGCTGGGCAAGCCGCCTTGAAGTTGCCGTCGTCGGCTGATATTCCGAAGGCATGTGAGGGAGCGCCATTGGTGATTCGAGCATTGAAGGGGTTTGACTGGCCCACACCGCGTGTAATTATCGTGGAAGGATCAAACGGACCAAAGCTAGGGTGTTGCTGCGAGCTATCAACCCGTCGAGCGTCCGTCATTTGGACGTCGTCGTCTTTCGGCGTAGGATGATGTGAAACTTGGCCGAATGAACCGAGCTGCCCATACGACCCACCATTCATAGAGCTTCCGAAGGAAGTGCCTAGAGAGCTCTTTGGCTGGTAGAAGCTACTGTTGGTAGTCTGATTGCTACTGAAAGAAGAGTTCATTGAAGTGCCAGTCTGTCCTGCAGTAACTGGAAGTGACGATGTCGTAGTGGCATCGGGCTTAGTTTGGGCTGCCTGCTTAGCAGACAGGTTGCTTAGGTCGGTTTTGAGCTTGTTGATCTCAGTTGTTTGTTGCGCAATCTGATCCTGGTACGATTTATCGCGTTGAGCCGTTGCTGCAGCTTCTGCGACCTTCTTCACACTCTCTTGAGCGTGTTCTTTTGCGGCGGTCATCTCGAGCGACTTGATCTGTTGCTTCAGTTGATCTCGCTCCGCTTGGGCTCGTTGGACTTCTTCAAGACGCTGCTTCTCTTGCTGACGGACCTGTTCCTCCTTCTGCAGACGCAGGGCTTCGGCCTTTTGCGCTCGGTATTCTGCCATCTGCTGTGCGTCGGGGCCGATGGTGGTCCTCGCAATCTTGTCCTCGGTTGCTTTCCGCAACGTCTCCAACGTCTCGTCGATCGATCCGGTTGGGAAGCTAAAGCTCGCAGGTGGCGGGCTGAGCCAGCCTTCCATTTCTTCAATGTTGGTGACCAGATCGCCGAGGAGGTGGTGAGGCCGTGAGTACTTTATTATGTCGCGGAGGGCTCGAAGCCGGTATATTGGCAGCGGTGTGTAAGGCATGACGTTGCGCCATTGATCTCCTTTGGCGAGGATATAGTATAGGCCCTGGAGGCACTCGCGTAATTCGATGATGGTTTGTTCATCGTCCTTGAAGCCATTTCCCATGACTCTGTCGATGACCATCATGTCATTTCGCACAGTCTCGTAGTGATTCGCAAAGTCCTTCACAAGCGCGCTCTTCTTTTCGTTCTTTTGAGGGATGAGAGTTGTCAGACGAGGGATGACATGACGAGCCGCGGCATTCTGCTTCATGGTTCCCTTCAACGCGGCGTGGCTGAACAACTCGACAAGATCCTCTCGCCAGTCGTTCGCAACGTCGGCAGTATACTGCGAGTAGCCGGCGATGTGTAAGCGCGCCTTGTACGCGCTGAAGCACATCTCAGCCATGTACTTAGCGTTGTACTTCTTTTCGTTGGGGCGACTCCTCTTTGAACGCGCTGCGATGGGAGTCTCATTGAGTTCAGCCTAGATGTCTGCGTTAGTTCAGAAGGAAGAGATCTGAAGATAAGTGGCTTACCGATCCTGACTGGCTGTTCGCAGTAGCTCGTCTCCTCTTTCCACCGGCCAGAGGAACTGCGTATGTTTGGTAGCCAGGGCCGTTGGCGGCTGAGGAGTGAGCCATTGCGCTTGGCGACTAGCAATATCTCGACGGAGTCGCTGTCGTTATCTTGTAGCCACTAGGCGTGTTGTCGAAACAAAAGTCGGACTTGGAAAGCGAACTTGGTAAGTGGATGCCGGATCAAATTCGTGTAGTCAAGCAGGGGTTGAGTACGGGCTATTGTGCACGCCACTAATCCCGAAGCAGGAATCGAGTGAGTACTACGAATAGGTTGTGGTAGTGAAGGGGAAGAACGATAGCTACACGTGGTGGTTGGGTCCGTGCGAAGTGAATGTGTGTTGGACAAAGACGTGGTCTGAAAGACCAGCACAAGGGCGACTAGGAGTAGATGGTGAATGATAGGCGTCACGATGGTTCATATTCGTTCTGGTTTGCGTATACAGTGGCTCTTCAGCTGGGGTCATTATAGGTGAAGAATGAGTATCTAGTGACGATCGGGCTACAGTTTAGTCCGCAGTCCTGAGGCTCAGGGAGAGACTTGGTAAGATGACATGGGTAGAAAAACATACTCGGTATAAGAGAAGAAGATCGAATGACTTGAGTCGAGCGAGACGGTGGAGGGAAACAAGACGAGACGACTGTTTTGATAGCAAACATCCAATGCGATAGCTTGCTCAGGTTTCCCCATAGGCAACAAGCCAGATGTATGAATGCTGTATCGCATGGCGGCTGTGACGATGTTGTCGCGACTACTTCATAGGGTTGATGTCGAGGATCGTTCCTTCCTGGAGATGTCTCATGCCGCATGCTTGCTTCACCAAGACCTGGCGTTCTTGAAGTCAGGGTGCGTAGAGAAAGCGACGAGAAAGAGGACATCGTGAAATGTCCATATGCGAAATATGTGAAGAAGAAAAAGGAAATAAGAACAAGGTTCAGGTATGTTGGTGGCTCGGCGATGGCCGCCCTAGCGCAAAGGTTGGGCAGGCACGGGATGCGGAGAGCAGATCGCGACGGGGAAGAGCGACCGAGGCAGGGTCGTCCCTCACCCCGTCGATGTTTGGCCTCTCCAACATTGGAAGGCATCGCGACCATGCGCAATCCCGTGGCGTGTGTGTCCTGCAGGTCCGCAAAACAGAAGTGCATTCACGAAGACCGGCCGCCGTGCGACAGGTGCAAGCAGTGCGGGCGCGCCGATCGGTGCGAGTTCCCAGGTGCGTCGAGGCTCCTGCCGTCCCCTATAGTGCGCGTGTTGACAGACGATAGCGCCAGGAACCAGCGCGATACACCGCAAGCCCAAGCGACCACGGCCCTCTGAAGATGCAGGAGACACGCCGACACCGAATAACTCGAGTACGACAAGTGTAGCGCCCCATCAGGGCCGCCATGACGCACATCTGCCGACCGGCACCCAGGCGGCACAGCACGCGTCGCCGAATGCGGCATCCGCGCTGCTCGACGGCCTCGATCCCTTTGAGCTGCTGACGGACGAGGTCAAGAACAGCTACCTCAGATGCAGCTACAAGTGGAGCTTCCACCACACGCCGACGCTGCTGCGCAGGATCCGCGACCGCACCCTCGAGCCATGGATGGCCTGGGCGATCCTGGCACTGGCCATCAGGTATGCGAGCACCCACAGCGCAGGCAGTCGCACATCTAACATGACGTAGATTCGTCAAGGAGCCGCCCTCGCCCTTCCGGTCGCAGACTGAGGCCAGCAATGCCTATGCCGCCCACGCCCGCCAGATCCTGCAGCAGGACCTCGAGACGCCCTCGATCAGCCGCGTCCAAGCCCTGTTGATGCTGACGGGCCACGACTGGGGCGCCGGCAATGGAAGGCGGGCATGGATATACCTGGGCATGGCGATACGTCTCGTCGAAGTCATGGACCTGACGCGCGAGACGGGCATACCGCGAAACCGCGTGCCGACGCGCGAGGAGTTCATCGAGGCTGAAGTGCGTCGACGCACTGCCTGGACCTGCTTCCTCATGGACTCGCTGCTCAGTGGCGGCAAGGGGCGCAAGCGATCGTTGACCCACGCCGACATGAAGATTCAGCTACCCTGTGAGCGCGAGGACTTCGTCTTCGGGGAGCCTGTATGCACACCGCAGCTAGACAACACACAGCGCATGCCGCCAGTAGCCCTACCTGTGGGAGAGATCGGCATCATTGGATATAGTATGCGCGCTGCCAACATCTGGGGCAAGGTTGCGCGCTGGGCGTGCTCTGAAGACCTCAAGAGCGAACTGCCATGGGCCTCCTCGTCGCAGTTCCAGCAGCTCATATACGAACTCGAAGGCTGGAAGGCCTCGCTCCCGCAGCGCCTGCAGTACGACCTCTTCACCCTCCACAGCCACAACGCC